AAATATATATATATATATATATATATATATATATATATATATATATATATTTTGGTCTTTCCTGGCCCCTGGGACCACTCTGCAGACTTCAGCAGGACTGGGGGAAGGCAAATCCCCCCCCCCCGTTTCCTTTCCCCCCCAGCCCTGCTGAAGTCTGCATCTGGCCCGTTTTTTGTTTGTTTTTCAGAAAAACGGGATGCGGGAACAGGGCTTTGAGAGGCCAAAAAGGGCTGAATTCGGTGTATAAGATGCACCAACATTTCCGCGCTCTTTTAAGGAGAGGGAAAAGGTGCGTCTTATACTCCGAAAAATACGGTAAGTTCAGACTGAGAAGTGATCAAAGCACCCGGTTGCTCCCCCCCACCCAATTTCTCAACCGTCTCCATTATATCCGGAGCCTGTTGACAGGCGGATTCCCAAAACTCTTGGCTCGTCACAGCCTTTGACGACAGGTGGTGTGTGTGTATGTGTGTGTGTGTGTGTATGTCACCAGGTTCAACTCCCGCCTGTTAAAAACAGGGAAGGCTCATCAAGACTCACATCAGAAGCCAGCTTCTCGTAATCTTCCATCAGGTGCTCATTCTCTTGGTTGACGGCCAACACTTTGCAAATCCTGTTTGCCGCTGTCTCGGCCTACAAGCAGAACAAGAGGGGGAAATTGGTGACTCGGCAGAAAAACAACAGTCCCGGAGAGACTCTGGACCTTCCAAGGAAAGGCACAGCATGAGATCAAAGCAATAATTGAACCCTCATAGAAAGCGCCCGACAGGCAGAGAGAGAGAGCGAGAGAGAGCGGATGTGAAGCCATTAAATTTCAATCCAGGAGGATGGCATTATCTGGAGTCAACTTTCAGATCTTGAACCTCTTCAACCACGGTTGGGTTCTCAAGCCGTGGTTGAGTTCTCCAGCTGGCTAGGGAACTCTGGGAGTTGAAGCCCACCCATCTTATCTTCCAGTGGCCCAGAACTTGAGAAACGCCAGTCTGGAAGCTCAGAGCATGCCCAGAAACCACTAACGTAATCAAAAGACAACTGTCATCCCAAGTGTAACGCGGGATCATTTGATCGGACCAAACTTGGTTTGAGCTGCTAGATAACGGAACCAGGTGAGAAGGCTCATCTCTTTCATCTGGAAGGACCGTGGTTTCAACCAAAGCATGTTGAAAGCTCACATATACTTCCTGTTTCGGTCTGCAGCGACTGACTGCTTGAATTTAAAATTCCTGGTGCATCAGTCCCAAGATACTGATAGTTATTATGCGTGGATCAAATCTCGCGTCTTCAAACCAGGGTTTCAGATCCTGATTGGACCCAATATTTTCTAACGCTGATGTTAAGGGCAAACGATTGGTTTGCATGAAGATTTAAAGACTCGTGCAACCCCTCGAGTTATCCTAGCTCTTCATAAGCCAAGATTTGAACGTTTCAAGAAAACGGCTGTATTTTTATCTAGGATTCAGAAAGCACTGCTAAAACAGTTCAGCTCCAGCTCTGGCATTTACTCTACTATTATCTCCTGCAAAGTCTTTTTTTTTTTTAATTCTTTTTTTGATCCTTTGCAAGACGCACAACGTTCTCAGTGGCACGTTTTTGGTAGCTCCCCTTCCCTAAGTCGATCCTATTTCAACGAGATCGTACTCCAACCATAGAATCCTAGGGCTGGAAGGGACCTTGGAGGTCTTCTAGTCCTACCCCAGCCCAAGGTAGGAATCCTTATACCCTCCAGCAATTGATTGTTATTCTTCACTCAAGGTCCCCGGTAACTATAAAACCTTCCCAGTTTTGTACTGAGAGCCGCATTGCAAGCTGGCATAAATCCAAAAACACAAAGACAAAGGGAAAAAATGAAAGCAATGGTGGACCTTTGTCAAAAACAATAGGATGCAAAAAGGGTGTGTGTGTGTGTGTGTGTTTTAAAGGGAGGAGGAGCAGAGCAGGTGAAAGGCCTGCTTTAAAAAAAACGAGGGAGGCCATGAAGTTGGGAGTCCCGCCGTAAACGCCCGCACCTGGCTTGCCCAAAAGCAAAAAAATAAAATTAAAAAAATGGTGGTGGGGGGGGGGGGGGGAGGAACAAATCACACAGAAGCCGTGAAATGGGAAAAAGTCAAGAAATCAAGTACCTTGCTAGGAGCAGAGAGAGTCCAAGGGAAGGAGATGGAAGCCACACATCAACAGAAAGGGTGAAGAGGAGGGTCTGGAGAAGGGGAAGGGGAAAGGGAGAGAGAGCCATGGAAGAAATGAGTTGCCAACAAAATAGGATATTCGAAAGAAAGAAAGAAAGAAACCGAGAGAGATTTTATTTCCACTTAAAAAAAAAAAAAAGCTACTGGTTCCCCCCCCCCCCCCCCGCAGTTGGTATAGACCAGGGGTCAGCAAACTGTGGCTCTGGAGCCGCATATGGCTCTTTCCTCCAGGCTATTTTTCCTGCATCTCAAAAGCAGGCAGAGGCGAGTTTAACATTGGTCTTTTCTGCGGTAAAATGGGGATATTTTCTTGCGGACCCTCAGGAATTCCGGTCCGTTCAAAGGACCAACCCTCAACCCCTGGAGCCTCTTGAGGGAGGTGCAGAAGCAGGGGCATCTTTGCTTCCCATGCCAAGTGATCAAGGAAGGTGCCAAGGCAGGCCAGGGAAACTTAACAAGGCGGGCGCTGCGGAAATCAGTCCTGTCCCTTTAAGAGACGGGATAGGGAATTCTGGGAATTGAAGTCCACAGGGACTACTACGAAGCTGGGGAAATGGAAGTTCTCCCAGCTTTAAAAAAAAGTCGTTGAGGTTTAAGAATTGACTGCTCTGGATCACGCCTCCTCGTGCAATCCCATCACTAGCCCCATTGCGTAAAATCCTGGGACATACTTTACCCGTCCTGGCAGAATTTCTTCATTTTTATAGCTTTGGGCTTTGTTGGGATTATAAATAAAACTAGTGAAAAGTTGTAGGTCTCTATTAGGAGCCTGATCTGCCCACTCTGAGCCAATCTAACCAGGAGGAACAGAAACCCGACATAATATAAACACAAGGAGCCATCCAAAAGGAAGGAAGAGACCAGCAGAGGGGAAGGGACGTGGGGGCGCAGCAGAGGGGAGGACCAGGAAAACGGGACGGTTAGTTGCAGCACACAAAGGAAAAGGAATGAAACGAAGGAGGGGAGCTTTAGGCAAGGACTGGCAGACTCCGAATTTCCCTTTCCAGGCTCCAAGGAAGGAGGAGAAGGGCCATTTAACATCCGACAGGGAGGAAAAGGACAGGGGTAGTATACTGGGCCTGTATGCTCAGCATGCAAAAGAGAAAATTAGTAAGAAAGCAATTAAGCTGACGGGGGGGGGGAGAAAGAAAGGAAGGAAGAGAAAGAGAGAAGGAAGGAGAGAGAGAAAGAAAGAGGGAAAGAAGAGAGAAGGAAGGAAGGGAGGGAGGGAGGGAGGGAGAGGAGAAAGAGAGAGAAAGAGAGGCAAAGAAAGAAAGGAAAAAAAGAAGGAAGAGAAAGAGAAAGAAGGAAGGAAGGAGAGAGAAAGAAAGAAGGAAAGAGGGAAAGAAGAGAGAAGGGAGGGAGGGAGGAGAAAGAGAGAGAAAGAAAGAGAGGAAGAAAAAGAAAGGAAGGAAGAGAAAGAGAGAGGAGAGAGAAAGAAAGAAAGAGGGAAAGAAGAGAGAAGGAAGGGAGGGAGGGAGTTGAAAGAGAAAGAAAGAGAGGAAGAGAAAGAAAGGAAGGAAGGAAGGAAGGAAGAGAAAGAGAGAAGGAAGGAGAGAGAGAGAGAGAAAGAGGGAAAGAAGAGAGAAGGGAGGGAGGGAGGAGAAAGAGAGAGAAAGAAAGAGAGGGAAAGAAAGAAAGGGAAAAAGGAAGCAAGAGAAAGAGAAAGAAGGAAGGAAGGAGAGAGAAAGAAAGAAGGAAAGAAGAGAGAAGGGAGGGAGGGAGGAGAAAGAGAGGAAGAGAAAGAAAGAAAGGAAGAGAAAGAGAGAGAAGGAGAGAAAAAGAAAGAGGGAAAGAAGAGAGAAGGGAGGGAGGGAGTTGAAAGAGAAAGAAAGAGAGGAAGAGAAAGAAAGAAAGAAAGAAAGAAAGAAAGAAAGAAAGAGGGAAAGAAGAGAGAAGGAAGGAAGGAAAGGAGGGAGAGAGGAGAGAGACACACACAGAGAGAGAACGAACTGTGCCAGAAAAACAAATCTCTGCAGCCAGCACAAACTCATGCTTACGGGTGCATTCCCCCCCCCCCGCCCTCCCCCCAAAAGGCTTTGGCTCCGCTCCCGTTAAAGTCACTCAGAGCAAGGGACTGGAAGTGAGAAAGCCTTAACAGGATCATAAAATCCACTCGGGGCAGAGATGTTTTCGCCAGGCCTGGCTACGGGAAAAATCCAGCTGCTTCTTTCAGCGGTTAAAAACTTCTTTTTTCCCCCTTCAATATTTCATGAGAAAGAGAGATTTGCTCCAAACCCCCCAAAGATGGGGGGGGGGGAAACACAACAGATGTTCAGGAAACCGTGCGGTAACCCTTAATCCCGGCTCTGGAGGACGCCGAAGGGAGATTTGCAGAACTCACACCGATCCCCCTTCTCACGGCACACGAGCGGAGCCCCCACCCCTCCGGCCACAATCCGTTCCTAGCGAATCCCCCTTTGCAAAGAATTCCCCCCAAGGACTCACACAACACCCCCGGGGTTCTTCTTCCCAGATTCTACCACCTCAGACCTGCCCGCCAGATTTTCGCCTCCCGCCAGGGCTAAAACAAATTCGAGGCTGTGCATTTGTGCCGAGTTTCTAATCCCAATTCTCCCGGGATCTCTGGAAAGGCAAGAAATGCGGTGTGGGTGGCCACCTTAAATCGGTGGCCATCATTTCCCCCTGCCACACAAGCCACGGGTTAGGGGGGGGGCCTGTTAGCCACCGGCGGCTTCAATCGCTCGCTCTGGAAACAGCGTCGCTCAAGGCCGACGCTAAGCCAAAATGCCAACGTCACGGCGTTCATCCTGCGGTTGAAACCCAAGGATGGTTGAATGAGAGACACCTCATCCAGAAAATTGGGGGGACGGGACGGACAGACGTGAAAGAATTCCTCGGAGGGGGTCTCTGTGCATCTCTCCCTCCCTTCCTCTCTCAGTCTGGAAGAACAAGCCAGGATAATCAAAGCCAGAAAGACGTTTCCAGATGCGAGGAAGCTTTGGGGGGGGGGGTGCACTTCCACAGCCGTTGTCCTTGTGGTGTTTTCTTACACCTCTACTTAAAGGGAGGTTGAAAAGCAGCTTTCAAAAATCAACTTGAACTTGTTCTCGTGTTTCATTTCAGCTTCAAAAATGATGAGAGAAGACGGGCAGGAGTTCAACAGGCACGTTAGCTCAGATCGGGGTTTCTCAACCTTGGGCAATTCAAAGACGTGTGGACTTCAACTCCCAGAATTCCCCCACCAGCAGGAGTTGAAGTCCCCACCTTAAAAGTCGTCAAAGCTGAGAAACTCTGTAGGTACTGTTGGGATATTCATGACTGCGAGAGACATGGTAACGAGGTCAACCAATGAACAGGCATAGCAACTAAGTCAGCCAATGGGAGCGTAAACAGATCTGAATCTGTGCTGAGAATCAAAACTGAAACTACTCTGTCTGCTCTGAACTTCTGAGAACAAACTGTTCCTCTCCTGATTGTGTTCTGCTT